TGATTATCAGCTAATGTTTCATGTTTATTTTATAAGTCATCAATAAACTTGAAACTTTCCACATAAAATGTCTCCGACTGATTAGAAGAATTTTCATGCCAACACAGGTGCAAGTCATTGTAAACAGACTGGTCTGCATTTGGTGATACTGATTAATACGAATTCTAAAACAAGTAAAGCTATCATGACAAAAGTCATGGCACGTACGTTTCTGCTTTTGAAATGATGTTTGTGGAATGGATGTTTTTCTCCGAGTCTATGGGTGTCTTTTTTCAGAGTTTACGGTTTTCCAACTTTACTTGTTTTGGGCGCAAATGATCAGGGCTTTTGCAAATTCCACGCCCTTTAGAATATCTAGTTCTTGAACAGTAATTATTCACAAAGACTGTTTAATTTCATAAAAGTTAGAGAGGCTCACAAAGTTCAAAATGTTGCATCATGTTTTGATAATGGAAGACAGTACAGTTCCGCACGTCGAAATGTTGGCATCTAAAATAAAATTAGACAGCTATCAGTGAAGAAGATAGGCCTGAAAGTCTACAGCAGTAAGACCAAGTGCATGAGGAAGAATACCACCAAGTCACTATATACAACCAGGATGTTCAGGAAGTTGATGAATTCGCATACCACGGCAATAGGGTAACAACAGATAAAAAATATGAGAAAGAGGTGAATACCAGAGTTACCAAAGCTAATCATACCTTCACCATCATTGCAAAACAGACCTGGAATTTTGAACAATAACACACTTAGTGTATTTTTATGTGGCTCAGAATGCTGGAACATTAGAGACTGACGTCATCTATTTAGTTTGTTTGTTTTTGAATTTCGCGCAAAGCTACACGAGGGCTATCTGCGTCCCTAATTTAGCAGTGTAAGACTAGAGGGAAGGCAGTTAGTCATCATCACTCGCCACCAACTCTTGGGCTACTCTTTTACCAACGAATGGTGGGATTGAGCCGTGGGGGCATTATAATGTTACGGTGAAAGGGCGAGCATGTTTGGTGGGACGGGGATTCAAACCCGCGACCCTCAAATTGTCAGTCGACCTCCCTAACTGCATGGCCATGCCGGACCCTCCGTCACGCAGCGTTGATCATATTCGGCTCTTAAAAAACACGAAAAGGTTTCCGTATGTCTGTCGTTATCAACGATGAGGAGTAATATTCTACATATCTCCACTAAGTTTCATCTAAAATCCAATCATTTGTGACTAAGTTATAGAGCAAAAATAGAGGGGAAATTTCCCCCCATGTTTACAGATAGAGATTTTTTTATTTTAGTGACCGTGATCATTAAAAAACTAATGTTTTCTAAATTGGGTCATAGTCCAACTGTATAGCAACTTTCGTCCAGATCCGTTCGGTCGTTGTATAGAAATCTTGCTGACAACCACACAAACACAGGGGTGAAAACATAACATCTGTCCACCTTTTTAACTGCTTATATCAGATTAAAGTAAGTGAACAGAATTGCATAGAGCTTCGCATCAACTCGGAATCACACAGAAAGGTGTTATCAACATGTCAACTGCGCGCAGAATCCTCGGGGGGGGGGGGGTCTCAACTCATCAATTGCGCGCAGAACCACTTAAGAGGGGTGTTATGAACACATCAACTGCGCGCAGAATCACTCAGGGAGGTGTTCTGAACACATCAACTGCACGCAAAACCGCTCAAGAGGGGTGTTATGAATACATCAACTGCGCACAGAATCACTAAAAAGGGGTGTTATCAATACATCAACCGCGTGTCTATTCCCCTATATTCATTCACTCTTTTAGTGTTTACGGTCATTCGGTACATGCATTCATCTACGCCTGGCACCTCTCAGTGTTGACAGGTATAGGAATCTAGTGGGATGGTTACATGTTGTAAGACATGAAAGAAGCATAACTTTAATAATTGTGGTTGTTTTTTAGCTAGATTATTGAATTTAAAGAAAGTGAGCTTTGACATTTAATGATTTGTTTATGTTCAGTAAATCATGGGGTTTTTATTTGTCAATAAGTTTATGTAATAACTGCGAAGCACAAAATAAATTAGTTCAAAGTACATTGTTGTAGTTCATGTTTTGAATCCACACATTTATAGAAATTTGTATTGTTGTTTAGCCGAAAGGAATTTTAATGTATTGTTATGGGCATAGTCTAAAAGCCTGGAACCTTCTCCAAAGTTTAAGAAACAACTTGAACCCTGTATGTGTATAAAAA